ACCCACACACAGCACCATCCTTACCCACACACAGCACCATCCTTAGCTACAATCAGAAGAATGCCTATGCAGTTTTCCAACTTCAGCAGGATTTTTCTTTTATCTGAGTGCCTGTGAGTTGCTGGTTTTTCTCTTTATCTCTCTCTTTTTATGTAATAACTTGATATTTGAAAAAAAAGTTTGCCATTGCAAAGGCTTGTTTCCTGAATTGAGAAATATTTGGAGAAATTCACATTGATGCTTCTACAATTTCTCCTTTGGATACTGTAGTGCAGTAACCAGAATCTCATTTGTTTATAAGTGCTTGTTGCCTCTCTGACATAGCATTTAAGATTTGTAATTAATTTTAATGGTGCCAGATCATAGAAGCAATAATCTTCTTTTTGCAAACATTGCAACTCTGTACATGTATCATTGAATGCATAGTTGTCATACCTTAATGTGTCACTCAGTCACACTTGGAAGTCACACAGTCACAAGCCAAAAAGTCACACCTTGTCATAGATTGAATGTATGTGTCTCAGCCATGTGCCATTGTTTCAAATTTCATCTGCATAAGACCTCACGTATCGGATACAGTACTTTAGCTAAAGTAGCATCAATTATACTGTTTTTAAGTGGTGATATAAAACAGCCTGTTCTGCGATGATCACATGCACAACTTCCTGCCTGTGAGTTTCTGAAGAGGGCTGTTTGAGAGTCAGGTCTTTGGCGTATAGCCAGGAGAGGCATATGTTAAATTAATCATTGTATGAATCTGCCATGGTCCAGGAGCACCAACAGCAGATGTTGAATTCCCATAACACTCACAATTACAGTTAGAATTGGAACAAAAAGATCATTTCACGATCATTTCGGCAAAGAACCAATCTGGACTGCAATACTGATGCTTTGCATCAAAGTGATATTCAGTCATAGAGTCATAACAGCGTGGAAACAGACCCTTTGGTCCATCTCGTCCATGCCAACCAGGTTTCCCAAACTAAACTGGTCCCATTTGCCTGTGTCTGTCCCTTAACCCTCTAAAGCATGCAGTGCTCCTTCTTTACCACCTTATCCACTTGGACTGCCCCTTTCAGGGAGCTATGTATATCAATTCTCCTAAGGGTCCTGCCATTTACGGTATACTTTCCTGTTGCATTTGGCTTTCCGAAACACATCACCTCACACCTGTCCAGATTAAACTCTATCTGCTATTTCTCCGACTGATCCATATTGTACTGTATCCTGACAACGTTCCTCATTTTCCATAACTCCACCACAATATGTCTTCTTAGAATTATGGAATACTTACAGCACTTCAGAAGTCTTAGAGGTTTAGAAGAAGTGGCTGCAGAGTAGATACATTGGTTATAATCTTCCAATATTCTTGAGATCTTGGAAGGGTCTCAGCCGATTGGGAAATAATAAATGTAATACTTTTACTCAAGGAAGAAGACAGAAAGCAGGAAACTTTAGGCCAATTAGACAACACCTATCATTAAAATAAACTTCCATGCCTGAAAAAGAGTCATAGACTTGAAACATCAACTCTGCTTTCTCTGCATGGATGCTGCCAGACCTGCTGAGTTTCTCCAGCATTTTCTGCTTTTATTTTTGTCAATTGCTAAAATTCAATATTCAGAAGGTCCTGGCAGGCTACTTAGAAAATCAAAATGGGATCAGGCAAAATGAACATGGTTTTGTAAAAGGGAATTATACTTTACTAATTGGACTGCTTGTTCCCATTGTAGGTGATAGGTACTGCGATTAAAAACTGGCCACTGTGGTCTATCTGCCCATATGGTAGAGAATCTGCAATACAACTTGACCACATCCAAACACTGAATTCTTCCTGGTTGGAATCTGTGGCCACAAGAAATAAAGGTTTATTTGCAAGGAATATTCATATAAAATACCTAGATGGGTATTTGCTGAAAAGTAGCAGAACTGGCAATGTTTGGAGCATATTTTCTCGAGTTGAAATCCCCTATTGACAGCCCTGAACTGTGGGGCAACAACAAACACTTACGTACTAGATGAGACAATTTCACAGTTTTCCTCTGCAAATTCCCTGCATGTACTGCATGGCATTAGGCCTGGCACCAATCTGTACTCTTGTGCAATGTCACATGTGCGATTTATAAATATTTTAATACCATTTACTTTTGAGTTTAGATTTTTGAATTTGAACTTCTGAACGCATTTAAAGTTTAACTTGTAGGTATTTCTGTAGCTGCGGTGATTTCTTAAAACATGATGTGAGAGAAAGACTTCCTGGAAAATAATGGGTTTTTATTTATTTTGGGAGAATTGTACAAGTGATCAAGGTGAACAGTGTATAAAGATATAACAAAGTGTGGAGCTGGAGGAACACAGCAGGCCAGGTAGCATCAGAGGAGCAGGAAAAATGACGTTTCGGGTCGGGTCCCTAAGGTCAGGGGGTGATTTTTTTCTTCTCATTCAGCAAAACACCCTTAGCTTGGGAAAAATAAGATGCCGAATCTTACCTTTTTTTCCAAGTTGTGTCACATTTTTGGAGGGTTTCATCCATGAGGCCTGGTAAGATTTCTCACTGTATCTTACTACACTCACCTCATTAACTACCTACTCCACCCCCATTTCATCCCTCTTATCTGATTCAGCCCCCAGCCTAGCATGTTCCCTGAAGAACTCACCACTCAGCAGCTATCCATCAAAAGATCAGCATTCCCAGCACCAATGCCATCTTTAAATGGCGGCTATGCACTGAGAGAAAGGTTAGCAATTTGGCATTGCCTGTTACTAACAGCATAAAGACACACAGCTGGCATGACTGTCATTCCCTCACAAATACAACCTCATTCTCTCAGATGTCTAACCAACAGGCCACACAGTTTACCTGTGCTTAGTTATATCTCATCTAAACAACATCTCCAAATCATTGCTACTACCAAAGCCAACTGGTCATTGTCCAGTAGGGGAACAGTAGGGAAAGGGCAGTGCCTGCTGTAGTCTGAGACCCATTTCCCATCCCAGACTCACATCAACCATGAAACCTTCCATTGCATTCAATAGAGTCTATCTTAATACTTAGATGTCAAATGATGGAGTGTCTCTGTCTCCCACAGCGCCCTTGGAACTTTCACAAATTACAAATCAACTTTGGCCAGCATTTAACTTTTTATCAATAACTTCAGAATCATTGCCAATGTTCAATTTGCAAGAACCAATGGCTTGGCCCTTTGACCAGCATTTGACCCCTAAGCATCTTCATTCTGTATGCATTGCGTATGAGCACAGAAATGATTATTGGTTAAATGTAGCTGAAGTTTGCAAACGTCTGCCTTGTGTATTTGCCCTTTTAATGATTTAGCATCAAGGAGTTGTTGACCACATGCTTTCGGCCATCAAACTGACTCTGCCCACCCTGGGCACATTTTCCAGTTAGAGACAATGAGTTCAACAATGAGTTGGTCACCAGGTTCACGCGCCCCCCAACACCCCCACCACCATTACCAGAGCCTCCCTGTTACCTACTACACTTCTCCAGCCTGACAGACCATTTCCTCCCATATGGGGACCCACTATATTGAACTCCTCCATTTGACTTCACTGCCCCCGATCCTTGACATTACACCTTAATGATGCCCACTCTGCTCCTCAATGCTCCGCCTTGGGAGGCCACAGTGCTGGTCTGTGCCACTATCCCACAGAGCCGACTGTACCCTCCAATGCCATTTGTATAAACCCCCATATCTTGAATTTATGTTGACACCATCTTTCATCCCACCTCTAGCTATGCCGCAACTTCTCATCCCTACTCTCAGCCTTGACACCCCTCCCTTTTGGCAGAGATCTCCCTGATGGAGGGGTATCCAGAGATATTTTTCACTGGTGTGTGAATGGATGTGGGTTTGATTGGCAGTTTTGAGAGTTGTAAGCTGTTCAATTTTTTAACAAGCTCATTTCAAAGGTTTTCCGCTGCTATTACATACATCATGAGATCTATACATCTTGAATACTAGGTATGTGGCTATGGGGATAGTTAGGAGGCAAAGAGAGGACATGTAGAGAAGAGGATGATAGCTAGAGAGTCTAAAAACCATGCAGAGGACTGAAATTATATACCAGGAAATCCAGTTGAATCAATGGTGTTCTTAGCACCTCCTTCACCACAGTCTTGGGTTTGCCCAAGGAGGTGATGGACCTGAACTTTGTCTACCCATTTCTCACACAAACAAACATTCTGAGGATGGGAGGAGGTGATGGGTGTGAAAACACAAAGTGGAAAAATTGGCAGGACTCACTCACATTTCCCGAAGCAGAGGGGAAGATCTGGTCAAAGATAAAGTCGATTCGTTCTCCCCAGAATGATGTTAGGCTTGCTGAATAATTCCAGCATTGTTGTCTTTGTTTCAAATTTCCAGCATCAGCAACTTTTTGCCCAATTACAGCTCGCTTCATGAAATTTGAGCGACAACCCCATTTCATTCATTTAATTTTGTCCGGGTCTGTTTTCTCCCAGATTTTCATCTAACGTGACAGGAGGAGGGATTGCTCTGAGTGAGGATCCATTCTGATTGTAACAGGCCATTCCCACCTAATGATAGCACAAGTTAAAAGGGCTTTGATGCAGGAGGACTGATTGGCCTATGACCACACATCTTAGTGCCAGTCTGTACTTTTGAATATAACAAGTAAGACCAAGGTATTTTAGAATGCTGCTGTACGTTTTGTAAGTCAATAATTTAATGTGGATGGTTTTTTTTACACAATTATAGATTATCAAGTGCTGTTGCAGTAATAATTTACAATTATATAAGTTTTTTTTATTTGGAGTATCTTTGTTGCAGTTTGCCTTGTAGTGCTGAATTAGAAAATATGCTTATGTATTCAATGGGTGCTGCAGATGAATATTTGGGTCATGTCACTTTGTTTGGTAATGACTCAAATTTCCTATTGAGCCTGTGGAATGACACCACTAGATTGCAAATATACAGCCATCCCCACTTGAGAATGCCAA